AGAAATCAATACATTTCTAGATTCTGAATATTTTAGAAAAAAAAAAGACAGAAAAGAAGTGCTGTAACAGAAATTTCAAAATATAATTCTATACAAAAGTTGTATAAACAAATAAAAAAAATACATAGAACATCAAAATGTAAAATTTGTCTACGTTGATATTTTAATTAAACTGGTTTTTGAAAAATAGGTTAAAAGAGTTTTCTTTCGTTGTAGCAAATATTAATTTCTAAATTCTTTTTCAATAAAACAAATATCAATAATTAAATATAATTAGTTCAATAATAAAAATTTGATATAATAAATCTGTGGGTAGTAGAAAAAATTTCTTTCATTTATCATGACTAACTTGATATAGTTATTTAGTCATGTAGAAAATGTTCTAAATTGTTTTTAGAGAAAAATATGTAATAATTGTGATAGTTTGAATTATCCAATCAATATAATTTTTCTAAATCAGCCTTAAAACTTAAAACACGCTTTACTATTGTTTTATTTTTTGAAAATCTAAAGTATTTATATATATATTAATTAGCAAGCACATTTTATTATGTATTTTTCATTATAAGAAAAAATCAAAGATAAAAAATATTTAATTTGTGCTTCAGATTCTTAGGGTGACTCGAAGGACCTATATTAATTGTCGTCAAGATCGTTAAGCAGAGAAAACCTGGAGGAGCTAGCCGAAATAGTTTCCCTATGCTCCATTTATACTTAGATAGCATCAGGAAGTCAGAGGACAATAAGGGAAGGGAGTTAAAGAATACGAACTCAAACTAGAGGCTTGATGTAGGAAGAGGCCGAGAGAGTCGGTATGATCGATGCCCATGTATAGCTGGGGATGGTATTTACTACCTTTGGTAATTAAAATGATGCACAGAAAAAAAATTTTTCTGTTTATGGCGCACTATAAATATTTATATACATCAAATATAATTAATTATTTAGCCTGAACCATTGGTAAAGATTTATTTCCACGATATAGGCACTATTCAAAGTTTAAAAAAACAACCTGAGGCAAAAATAAAATGTTTGTTTTTGAATTAGAAAGTAATTATTTCTATACATATAATAATATAATATTTGACCTTTTACTTTTTATTTAACTTATATCTTACTTTCACATCTATCAAAATTTATAAGGAATGATTAACAACTGTTCGTTACTGCTTATCAAATGCAAATAAGTAAATCCGATGAATTTAGATTGTAAACTTAAATTAGTTAATAATTTTTTCTCTTTTAAAAGAAAAATAACTAATGATATCTTAGAAGTTTTGCGAGTTAATATTAAGTTCTCAGATTTTTTAATTTCGCTTAAGTATCTATCCAAAATAAATGGGTGTTTGAAATTATTATTTGAATTTAGTAAACTCACTCTAATATCTGATACTATTAGATTTTAGTTTTTTATTTGTAAGTAATTTTATCTTTTTTTTATCTCTTTGCTATAAGCCTAAATTTTCTTGCAGCATGCATCTCCTAAATTCTTTCACACTCTAAAATGCTATTTGAGAAAGTTGTTGTTTAGTATGCAATAAGAGATATTATAGAATTAAAATTCAATAGGAATATATAGGAAGATATGACTGGAGAAGTATTTAAAATTAAAAAGATTAGGATGATATCAGGGCTCTTTTATTAAAAATTAAGCTCTATTATACGTAGCTGGAGATCGTTACTCTGGACAGAAATCTTAGAAGTACAAAAGTAGTGTTCAAAATATTCATAGATAATTAGAGATTGTTCTTAATCAATATAAAATAGGAAATAAATTAGAAAATAAGTAATTTGAATGAAGGATGATTTTAGGGTATTTCTGGTTCACATTTACAAATAATAAATGTTTTTGTAAGAATATGAAGGTTAATAATAAAAAATTGAAAGTTAAAGAAAATTCATAACTCGAAACATAGATCATAAATTATCTGTTGTTTTGAAGGATGAGTTAAAATTGTATTCTACATGATTAAGACTTTTCTTGTTTCAAAATAAAAACCATATTTAAGTTATGAACCTTGTTACAAAAGATAAGTATTTATTAGGTCTAATATTTTTCAAAAAGTTTAACTTTATAAATTTTTATTAAATTATTTTTCTAAATCTTATAAATTTTAGCTAATCTTTATAATAATACTTAATACAATTTAATTTAGTAGTATATCAGTAGATTTTTGCCATTTTACATTATTATAATTTGCATAAGTTCTACAGTTTAAAGATCGATTAGTTCACTTGCTTATTTATTTCTTATTTATACAATCAATTTTATGCCAATTACCGATTTAATAGGAAAAATAAAATAATAAATGAATTCTTCATTTTTCATCTTAAAAATCTATTCATATTCTTGGATTTTTTTACCAAACTTATCCTTTCCTATATCAATTCCAATTATAAGTTTAAGAATATCTAATAATCGCTTAGATAGCATGAAAATTTTAGCTATTAATAGCAAAACTTGTATTCAATCTGAACTGCTTCTTATCTTACTTGGTTGTTTTTAATTTATAAAGATAGATAATTAGTGCAAAGTGAATTATATGTAATTATAGAATAAACATCATGATAAATAGAAGATTGAAGATATATATATTAATTTAATAACTTCTGTTTATTTAAAGCTTGCAATCATTTGTATTGAATTGGGTTGATTGATAGAGATTAATCACTTGCTTTTAAAGCTTCCTTATAATCTTTCAATAATCTTAATGAATCGCCTTAAAACAAATATATATAATCATACCTTTTATGCGTAAAGAAAAAAAATCCTTTGGATCTACTTATAAAGATTTATCTGCCCAAATTATTGCTTCATTATATTAACCAAGCCTTCTTAAACTCTCCGCTAATATATTTAAATATTATCATACCTTTAGTGCTTAATGAATTGCAATGTTTTGGATTTAATTGCAAAGCTTTATCTGCCCAAATGACTGCTTCATTATATTAACCAA